GTGCGATTAATACTAGATGTAACATGTATTTAATATGGTGTCCTACGGGGGCATAGCGCATAATTTTGTTAAGGTTGGACTTGTACCTTCGTGGTAAGTAACGTTGCCGAGATTGCAGGTGTACTGATTGGCCGTTTTAAGTGAGGGGATGTTAGTCCCTATATAAGGTTGTGATTGTTGTATCGGGAGCGATGTGTTGTGGTAGCTGGTACTATATCTCGGGCAGTAGTATAGTGGGTGTTTCCCTAAGTTTCCAAATTCCTTTATTTGGATCGAATGTGATAGGTTCGTACCTTAGCACTGGTCAAGTCAGAGGACGTTATCAGAAGGGCTAATTGGGTATATAGCCCATGGTTAGAGTGTGACCCGTGGATGGAGTCACAGTGGTGTGGTGTTAGCGGATGAAGATGTGGGTTAATGACGAGGGAGGCGAGGACTTTTACTCCTCTGGAAAGTTAGAAGAGTGAATCTTTGAGAGCCTTGTCGTGCTCCAAGTCCTCCCAAAATTATTGCCTTGGCAGAGGTATGTCATCAGCACCTGAAAATGTTTTTCCCACATAGGGTAAGCCAAAGCCTAGTAGAAATAATCCAACACAGTATATGAATCTTAACAAAGATATAAGGTGAATGCACATGTAATACTTGTGCCAAAACATTTTATATCTCTTTCCAAAAACCATGCAATACCAAGTTAATATCACAAGTCATAAATCATTTCCTTTATAATAAAAAACAGGGCAGTGAATCACACTATGAGAATCTCAAAACCAATGCAACCTTTCACGAAAATTTCATCTATGGGAAACCGTAAATCGGCACCCATGTAAACGTAGGCTATACAAGCACTACTATTGCCATTTCACAAAAATTTTGTCTGTGGGATAGGCACCCATGTATACCCATAATTTTTAGGACTTTCATCATGGACACTTAGGCCAACTTATTTCAATTAGACAACACATACCTCTCAGATTCAACATTTTTTCTCAAAACGATAAACATTTCCCATGTATAAATATAAAATAATGCTTAATGCAAATAGATGAGAAAATAGTTTCAATTCTCCTAATTCTCATGCAATTTTTACAACAATCATAGCTATCGTCCACTGATAGCACAAAACAGATATTTCTAAACCGGTAAACAATTTCCAATAAAAATAAGCCTTCCAAGTTTCAAGATGTGAGTGATAATACCTATCCAACTCCACCATCCTCATCAATATCAACCCAATTCCACATTTCCAACATCAATTCATTATTTATATAAAATCAACATTTGAAACATTTAAGGCAAAATCCCATGTTCCTCCAAAGTCAATCCCATGTATCAAAATCAACCATTTTATCACAACTCAACTTTATTTTCAACACCACAATCATTTCTAAGAATCGATTTGAAAACCCCTCTTTTGATCGTTAACCCAAAATCCTAGATTTGTTTCAAAAATCTCCAAAATCACAATGTTGTTTAAAAATAACAAATAACTAAGTTAAAACTCATAGAAAGTGCGAAGAATCCCTACCTCAAGCTCAGAAGACGAGAGGGAGATTGAAGAAAACTCAAAGACGCCGAAAATCAACTTTGCTCCGATTAGAACGAAACCCTCGTCGAGCTTTACCTTTTTAACAAAGGGATATGGGTGAAAAGGTCGACGGATCTAAGGGTATTTGAGTGAAATAGATGAGTTTTAGAGAGAGTGTGAGAGAAAATAGGGTTTTGAAAAGTTTAGAGAGAGAAAGAGGTGAAAAAGTGACTCGGAAAAGTGACTTTACGAACTGATATACGAGCAAACCACTCGAGTGCAAGAAATGTCGCTCGAGCGACCAAACACAATAAGTTACACCGCTCAAGTGAAGAATACCAACTCCCAAAAGTTTTACAGACAAAGAACCACCACTCGAGCACAAGAAGGCTCGCTCAAGCGAACACTACTCCAGCACAAGAAATACTGCTCAAGCAAAAAATGCTAACTCCAGTATCTTTGCAGACTTGCAAAAAGTATTGGAAGCTTACAAAGACCACTCCAGCATAAGAAGTGCCGCTCGAGCGAAGAAGCAAAATTCTAGGCAGCAACAGTTTGAAAAATCAGTTACCAATTTGTTCCAAACGCAACCAATACATCCCAATAGCCAAAATCAAAGAGAAATAAGGGGAAACAAGACAAGAACAACTATATAAGGCAATGAAACCCAGATCCAAAACATCAAATGGGTCAGGTCTAAACTAGAATCATTATAGTCAAGCAAATCTAACTATTAATCTCATAGATGGATTGATCTTCTAACCAATTATGTTAGATGTATATTTTCATTATGTTTTATTAGATAGATATATTTTGTGATATTAGATTGAAACCATTTGGGTAAGGACAAGCTAATAGGTGCAAATTGGTTAGGTTTTAATTTTTTATGATCTTATTTTCCTTATTGTTGAAAGGATGTAATTGTGGTTCTTAACAGTCATATCCATGCATTGATTTTGGAGGAACCATCAAGTATTTGATCCGTAATATATACCATTGCAAATTATTGGAGTTTTGTTAGAAGTCTGCAATATTTAATCAGAATCGCCGAAATATGTGTTAGGATTTATACCACATCTCATCAATATAAACAAAAGTACTCTCACATACACATCAAAAAGAAAAATCAATCACACACAGATTTAGGTGATTTAGCTCAAATTGTCTACATTTATGGAAGAGAGAGCTTCCAGTATGAATAAAATAGAGAATACGTGTGAAATGGTTAAAACACTCAAAACCTACACCACTGCCCGAACCCATACTAACAGGTAGTTGAGCTCTTTTTCACCCAATGCCCTCATGGTATTTTTTCTCTCACCCCTTGCATCTCTATTTTTTTTTTCTTTACCACTCTTTTAATATCTCTCCCAGAGAAATCCAAGAAACTCTATAGTTCACATGACTATTTATAATAGTTTACCCATGAGAATCCTAATTTCATAAAATTAGATAAACCAAATCTTACACCAATTAGGTTTTTTAGTAGATTCCAAACTCTACTATCCTAACACAAATATATGTATAAACTAACTTAGTGCTTGTTTAGCACATTATCCTATTTGGATTACAATCATCTTATTTGAGTCAAATCACCTCTCTACCATATCACTTTAAACCCAACTCATATTTTACGATTTTTTGTAAAAAGTTAAAAAGTATACTAATCTAACACTTTCCAAACAACTCCTTAGTCTACCTATGAGAATCCTAATTTCACAAAATTAGATAAACCAAATCCTACACATATTAGTTTTTTTAGTAGATTCTGAACTCTACCATCCTAATCCAAATATATGTATAAACTAAGTTAATAACGGTATGAAACCCACTTTTATCCTAACAATATGAAACATAAAAATAAATAAATATACAAAACTAAGGTTATATCCATGATTGTTATGTTTATTATTATAATAAAAAAAAGTTACACAAGATTATAAGAGATAATTTCAATTGCACCCAACTAAAAATACATAAAAATTAAGATAATAGATCGCAAATATAAAGACACAATAAATACCCTTACTTCAAAGTTGGATGTTGAATAATTATTGTCCAATATTTATCTGAATCGGCACTGTTTAACTTCAGTATAGTATATGAGGTCATATAGGATACTTTGAAGCAATCTTAGGTCAACGTATAAATGGGTCAAGTTCTTAACGCTGTGTTTGGTTGGGAGATTTGGGAAGGGAAATGGAAATGAAAGGAAAAGGAGAAAGAATTAATAGAATTCCAAATCCCAACTATGTTTGGTTGTGTTGGGAATCCAAGGAGGAAAAAAAATCATTTCTCATGAACTCTCTCATTATCCTTCATCACACACAGAATTGTAGTCATGAAGTGCAATAACAAAAAATAAGGTTGCACATGATCAAAGTGCTATTTGTTTTTTAGAAAAAAAAAAAAAACAAAACAAAACAAAACAAAAAATTAATTAATTTTTTTTATTTTGATAAAAATAAAAAATATATATATATATATATATATTAATTTGATAAAAAATTAATCAATCAAAATAAAAAATCAATCAAAATAAAAAAAAAAAAAACAAAAAATTAATTTGATAAAAATAAAAAATCATAACTAAACAAAACTTTATTATATTTTCTCGACAAATATATATATATATATATATTATTTTCTTCTAATTTTTCTAATCCAACCAAAAATGTACGAGAACATAACAACCACATCAATCACTAGAGCGCAGAACAAGTGAAAACATATAGTCAAACACTAAAACTGCATAGCTCATCTTTTTTTTTTTCTTTTTCTGTTTTTGAGAACACTGAAGATGCATATATTATTGAATTGCCCAGCAAACAAAAGCATATGCGATAGAGAGAAAAATTATGCTCATGCAAAGAATAATTCCACAGAGAGGGGATTTACATATATTTATATATGATATTATTATATTGTTGGTTGCAACCATAAAGAAATGCTATGCTGCTTACAGACAGACACAAACCAGCATCATTGGTGTGTAAATAAAACAGCATTGATGTGGAATTCTGAACCAACAAACACCAACTTTTGACATATTTCACAGAGGTTACTACGTTCTCGAATCCACTTCGAAGTAATTATTGTAAGTAGCAAACCAGCCCAAACACATGTAAAACTACAATAGTATACTGATATATTGACAATAATATAAAAGTATTTATATATTAGTGGAAGAGCTTCCCCTCCAAACTTGATAAAGTTTGAATTGCGGATTCAACAGATAGACACCAGTTTAAATTGAACATAATGATGATTCCAAGAGTTCTATTATGATGATCAGAATAATCTCACAAGCATTACCAAAAAAAAAAAAACAAAGAAATAACATCAATGTATCATAGTGCAGCAATGCATCACAACCACCTACAGACAGCTAGCATCAGCGCAGCATAAGTGTAGAACACCAAACCAAAGCATAAGACAACATCAGCAGCAGAACATCAAAACCAAGACACCAAACTCATCTACCAATATAGAAAACACAACATCAATGTATCATAGTGCAACAATGCATCACAACCAGAATAACAGATTCATCTACCAAAATAGACTCACCACCAACTAAGAGAGTCTACATACAAAAAATCCAAGCCTAATGATATTTTCATAGATTCACCAAATCCCTGAAATATTCAAATAAAAAAGTACCAACGAAAGAAGAATAGTACTACGCATCAAAGAATGAAGATCCGAATTTAACAGACAACCAAAGACCTCGGCGTTCAATAAGGCATTCTAGGTACGCTCGAGCATCACTCACTTCTTTAGCAAGAACTTGATACACCTTCATTCAAGAAGCATCACTCATGCCACTAACCTTCTCAATCTCCTCAAATAATTGTCCATTTGTGTAGTTCCGAAGGTTACCACGATCAAGCGCTGTTGCAACTGCATCTAGACCTTCCTTAATTGACCTTATTTCCTCACTCAGAGTGTCACCTAATTTATTCTTTCTTTTCTTTGAGTTAGAGGAACAAGATACTTCAGTAGTTTGGTCATCTTGAGTTCCAATCCCATCAAAATTCTCTGAGAGTGACTCAGTATGATCAGTATTTTCATCATCCAAAAGAATTTGTTGCCCAGCCCAACGAAGTCGCTTTTCTTTTGGACCTATAGCAAGACTCCCAATTGCTCGATCCTTTTCGAAGAGTTGACATAACTTTTGAAAGTTTTGAATCGGAGCAAGTCGAAACTGAGAAGCTTTAGGCTTTGCCTATAGAGAATAGCATATATAATATTATATTAAATAATGATGAACAAATATTGTAATTTTCTAGTACAGAACTACATCAATCTAACAACTAGATATACCTTGAGGTAAGTTGCCCATACACCTGTTGTAGCTTCAATCAGTTGTGTTGAATGATTATATCCAAATCCACTATCAGTTGTTAACATATCTTTAGCCATTGCAAAATTCCTTTTTAAAGTCTTCAACCGATTCCTTACATGACTGGAATCACAATGTACACTAAACTTGGTACTCACCGCATTGCTTGCAGCTCTATAAGCAGATGATGTAAAGCTACCACCAATTTTTTGCCCTTTGAGCATTTGGTCCAAGAGTGAGTCAATAAGAACAACATCCATTTGATTATTCCATTTCAAATGTTTCTTGTCAATTTCTACTGAACATTCTTGGTCACCTTCCACCTACACTCAAAAATGCCATAAAATATATCGGAAGAAGAGCATAGCTGGTAGCAAATTATCACCCAAACAAACGCAATGTCTTACATAATACAATAACAAATTAAAATATAATTCATTCCAAGATAACATTCAAATAATAATAATTAACTTGTCAATTTTTTGTTTTATCAGCAAAAGAAAAAGATTATATTGATGTAAAGCAAATGAGTACATAATGGGTACATCGCAAGAACAAGAACAAAAACATCAAATAACCCTTCTAGCCCCTCTCTGTTTTCCAAGATCCATATTATAATTTGATTGTCATTGAAGATTTATATCATAATCTCTCCACATGTCAGTAGCTATTCGCTCCCTTAACAATTCTCCTTCCCTACATTCTTCAGCTAAACTTGATCTAGCCACGTTAGTTTGCACATGTGCTCTTCTAAGCTCTGTATCAACCTCCTCAATAAGACTTTCATTGGGATCAACACCCATGAGGTAGTTGTGTAAAATACAACAGGCCAAAACAATATCTGCTTGAGTGTCAACATCATAATATGGCTATGTCCCACTTCCTAAAATTGGAAACCTTTTCTTTAGGACACCAAAGGCTCTTTCAATTGCATTTCGCAAAGATGCATGACGAAGGTTGAAAAGCTCTCGAGAATTTTCTGGTTGATGAACACTATACTCCTTCAAATGGTAACGAGTACTTCTATATGGAGCAAGGAACCTAGTTTTTAGTTGAAATCCTACATCTACTAAGTAATATTTCCCTAGGACCAACAAGTAACTAAATGATGTTAGTTTGAAAGAAAACAAAAATAGATTTATATTCATCACCATATAGACACGTTCAGTGATCACCTTGAGGAACGATCAATTTATCCATTTCTCTTGTTAATGCATTATCTAATATTCTCGAGTCTGAAGCAGATCCTTCCCATCCCGGAAGGATATATGTAAACTTTAAATCAAAAGAACATGCAGCCAAAGCATTTTGAGTGGGATAGCATTTTCGTCCTCGGTATCTTTGTGCATCCTTGTTTGGCACTCTTACACGAAAATGTGTACCATCAATCGCACCAACACAATCCTGTAAAAATTCATTATTTGTATCTAAGCATATAATATTATATACCCTAATTGCATTCATGTAACTACCTTAAAATAAGGCCAATACTTGGGATTGTTTCTAATCTCTGGAGGGCAGTTGAATCCATCAGGTTGCTTTAAAAAGATATCTTCCAATGATATAATGGCTTGAAGAACTTGATGAAAATATCGACTAACAGTCTCACCTGATCGTCTGTAAAAGAACTTGATCGTACAGTTCCTCAAATTATGGCTAATTATATGAAGGAATTTTGCAACTTGTTCTTCTACTTTACTTTGAGGATTGTCTCTAAGAAACTGAGTTCTTTTAAGCATGCTAACATATGGATCGAAACAGAAAATGGCATTGGCAGTGAAATACATGAGCTAAACATTGAAATTTCCATCTTATAAAGAAGAGTAAAATAAAGGATACAAATGTCATACAAAGGCAGCACAATAATGAACCCCACTTATTGTCGTAGTATCACTGCCATCTCTATCTTGGTAGTCTTCTCAAGCATTCTAAGCAGGAAAGGAAGCTAATGGATTTAATCCTAATAAAGGCTTCATAAATGCCTAATTTAGGATCACTTGTGAAGATGAAAACTGCAAAGAGTGCTATAACCAGTGGTGGACCCAGAAATTATGAGTAGAGGTGCCATGTTAACTCAAAATTAAAATAGTGAATTTGTTACGAAATGAAAACAGAACCATCTAATAGTAATGACGTTAGCAAATTCTCCAATATGACAATAGTCATTTATCAAAAACGAGGCATTCAAATGCTTGCAATCAACGAAAAAGGTTCAGTTAGACTGTTAAAGGAACATGTGTGGGGAGAACACAAAATAACCTCAAACTCATCAAGGGAAAAAAAAAAACTAAATAGAATACAACTTCTAAGGCTCGAGGAACCCTAAGCATGTTTGGTTGGAAAAGCCAAAAAAAACTTGTATGGTAGGCTGCTTGAATTGATTATCATGAAAACAGAAATAGGTCACAAAATATTCCATTTTGCAATTTTTTGCATAATGAAGCATTAAAGAAGGAAAAAACAATAACCATACAAACCGCAGACACAAGATAACGAAACCAACCACGATGGCAATGACAACAATGGAGACAATGATATTAACCTGTTCTGAGGCATATGCTAACCTGTTGAATATACTATTGGTTCACAGATTCAAATTTGAGCCAGAAATAATTAACTATACAACACAGCTTGTCATTGTTTAACTCTGCTGTCAAGGCCCAGTTGCATGTTGCTCAAATCTGAGAATCTTGAGCAGTGAGGGTCCATAGTAGCTCTCTTGTGGAATAAACTATACAACACAAAGCTCTTACACAAAAGTTGAAAACCCAAATAAAATCTCCCTCCCATCATCACCGCTTTGTGGGCTCCATATGATCTAATAACGGCTGATTCAAGTTCATTGCTAGTCCACACATTTCGTGTGAAGTGTGGGATTGAAAACAACCATTTATGAAATGTCTCTTCCTGTTTAATACACTATATGGCTCTGGATAATCATGTGGCTTGAAACTGTAGGCTGTTTTTGAGAGCCACTCAAAATTTCAAGGTCTTCTTAGAAACATCTACAAGTCCTTGTCTTGTTTGTACTTACAAACGAAATAGGGTATAGAAATATTGGTCTGATAATATAATGGTGGATGAATTTATTATTATATAAATTTGTTACTAAAACTTGATATACTTGAGTTGATTTCTGTGTCAGTCAACTAAACTACCACTCTCAAAAACATAAAAATAAAATGAGAGAGGGGCAAATTCCATTTTATTACTAAACTGTGCATATAATCTATGGGTAATTCTATTTCTCTGCATTAATTCCTGATCGAAAACGAAACTGTGTATGTATATTACTAAACTGTGCATATAATCTATGGGTAATTCTATTACTCTCAACAAATCCATGTATCTATATATAGGTGTGTGTATGTATGGAATTTTCAATACAAATCTGAGTTTGATGAGAGGAGAAGAGAAAACGAAAGAGGGGCACCAATACCTGATCGAAACTTTCGGGCAATGAATTATCAATCGAGTTCAGTGATTGAAGATCACCAATTGAAGCAGATGATGATCCCCGATTAGAGCGATTTTCTGAATGATGCTGCGAATCAGAAATTCCTACCAGAGTTAGATCTGCAATTTCACTTCGAAGCAAAATTGTAAAGCAGCTTGAACATAAATAAAAAAATCGGTGGAAATCAATAGAGATCTGAGTTTGATGAGAAGGTAAGAGAAAATGAAAGAGGAGCACAAATACCTGATTGAAAAATCCAGGCAATGAATCTTTAATCGAGTTCATTGATTGAAGATTACCAATTGAAGCAAATGATGATCCCTGATTGGAAGGGTTTGCTGAATGATTCTACGAATCAGAGTTTGCTACCAGAGTTAGATCTTCAAAACTCGTTGATGGTGATTTTTTGAAGCTACTCATGAATGGTCTCCTGCGAGAAGCCATGAACAATGAAACTCTCTCTCCCTGATAAATTTTTCCCCTCAGTTTTTCCGGTCTTTTCTCATAGATATAAAATAGAATTGATGTCCTAAAAGGTCTCCTATTTCTTTATTTATTTCTCACTCCCTTTCTTTTCCCATATATTTTTTATTATAACCAAACATAAATAGGATTACATTTCTCATTCCTTTTCCAAATCCCCCAACCAAACACAGCATAAGTGATCATGACTAAGAGGCTCCTCCATCAGTTAAATGGGCTAAGATAAATGTCTATGGCTTTTTGGTGAGACCTAGTCCCACCACTTTTGAGGGTTTGACTAGGGGTGTGAAGATTTTAGGGTTCCTAGTTGACATATGTTTTACAAAGGTTGTGGCTTCCCCCGTTCATATCAGATTAAAAAGAGAATAAAAAGAGATATGGAGGAGTTGTTTGGGATGATCTAAATAAGTGTACTTTTTGACTTTTTATGAAGTATGGGTTGAATTTAGGTTGGGTTTGAAGTAATGTGTTAAAGAGGTGATGTGACTTAAATAAGATGATGTGACTTAAATAGGATAATGACTTTTTGACTTTTTTGAAACTTGCCAAACCAGCCCTGAATCTCAATGGACTCACCACAGAATTTACATCGATGATCTGAATCGAATAATATGTAAAACTCATCGAATACTTCGTCTCTTCAAAAAATTATATTGATCAGATATCGATAACTATTTGATTAGATCACATTTGTATTAATAGTAAAATAATTTTAAAAAAAAAATTGTTAACACAAATGTAATCTGATCAAGTGACTATTGATATGAATTCAATATTTTTATAAGAATAAAGTACTCGACAAGTCTTACCTATTAAATGGTTCAAATCATTGATGTGAATTTTGTAGTGGGCCCACAGGAGCCTAATCGAAGCCTATCTCTTCGAAAAATACCTTAATAATAAAATTTTGGGCTATTTGAAAGACATTTAAGACCTTGCGGGAGTTAAAACCTTATTTGACAATATTATTGCCGACATTGTCTTATAGATCTAATGCTTGAGTATAGATTGATCTATAAGACACAGATTTCACCCTAAGGGTGTGGTTGTTCCAGGTTCGATTATTTTTGGGGCTCGTTATATTCAAACAATATATATATATATAGTTTATAAGACAAATTTTTCATGTCTAGACAAATTGTATCTAGTGCTAGAATTGTGAGTTCAAATTCCTGCATGTGTTTAAGCATGCAACTTATTCTAATGTGTAGCACCACCTAATGGTTAGGACTAAACATAGTCCAACTTGGTTCAATTTGGAATGAAATCAGAACTAATTCATTACTTACGATCCTATAAAAATTAAAATCAAACCAAACCATTAAAATCATAGAAATAATCTGAAACCAAACTATTTAAACACAGCTTAATTCGGTTTGAAACCACGGTTTCATATAATTAAATCACAAGAAAAATTATATGCAACTTACTACTACATGATTAAATGATTATGATGTGTAGCACCACCTAAGGGTTAGGACTAAACATAGTCCAACTTGGTTCAGTTTGGAATGAAATCAGGACCAATTCATTATTTACCATCCTATAAAATTAAAATCAAACCAAACTATTAAAATCATAATAACAATCTGAAACCAAACTATTTAAACACAACTTAGTTCGGTTTTAAACCACGGTTTCATATAATCAAATCATAAGAAAAATTATATGATACTTTCTAAAAGCATTCAACCTGTCATAAATTTGAAAATTAATAATAAGTCCATCAAGCAAATTACTCTCATAATATTCACTAATTAAATAAACATAACATCAAGCAAATACATTGTTCAACATTAATCTGCCATAATTTTTTAAAATATAAACATGACTATTGTTTAACCATTAACTTAAACAAATATAATACTGAGAGACAACATTATAGCAACATATGAGATTAGGGTTTGAGTTTTATCTATAAAAGGTTGGGATTGCATATATCAAGTTGCATGGTATATACTTTAAATTATAGAGTCTAGTTCAACTGCCAATACCAGTTCCTTAATTTTTTAAACCAAAATCGAATCACAAATTAAAAAAATCAAATCAAACCTACCAAATTGGATCAAATCGATTTGTGATTTTTTCAATTTTCAGTCCTTATGTGGTTAGGCCATTTAAGGTAGCTTGATGTGAAGGCTTCAATCAATTTATCTATAAGCATTTCAGTTAATCTATAAGACGATGATATTTGCAAATTTTGTTTAAATCTGAATAAACATACGACATGTCAACTTTAACACACTTGGTGTGAGACTGATGATATTGCAAATTTCTTAACTTGTTCATATGACAAGACAATCTTCATGATTCTCCACTAAAACTAAAGCATGCAAGGATGGTGTTAGAGTTTGATAATATTGTTAATTTTATGCCAAAAAATTATACAAGGTTTATTTTTTTTGTTTTATTAGAAATTTTAAAAAATATTTGATATATATATATATAAATATATATTAAAACACATTAAATAAAAACAAAAGGATGTATTTGGTACTAGCAAAGAGTGGGAAGGAAGAATAATGATTCAATTTGTTTGGTTTTATAACCACTACAAGAAAAAGCATTTTTGCCGACCACTTTTAGCTACCAAAACTAATTTAGTCGCCAAAAGTCACGGAATTGGCTACCAAAAATAATATTAGTCGGCAAAAGTCAACTTTTTAGCTACTAATTTTTTTTAGTAGGGGAATGTTGATTATTGGCTACTAAAAAAAATTTAGTAGCTAAAGATATTACAATTGGCGACTAAAACAATTTTTAGTAGCTAAACATATGACAATTGGCGACTAAATAAAAATTTAGTAGCCGTAGAGGTACCTTTCGGCTACTAAATTGTTTGGTAGCCAAATGAAAATAAAAAAAAATTAATTTTTAATCTTTCCCGACCAAACTTTTGGTCGCCAAATGTCGCCAAAATATACCCTTTCCCGACTACTCAGAGTTTGGTAGCCGAATGTTCACTTTTGGCGACTAATATTTTAGTCGCCAAAAGATAACCTTTGCCGACTAACCAGAGTTTAGTAGCCAAAACGTTCACTTTCAGCGACCAAAAATAGTTTAGTCGCCAATACTATCGCCGACAGGGTATAGGCGACTAGTTTGGCGACAAAATATTTTAGTCGCTAATTGTTTCGGCGACCAAAAATGGGGCTTTTGGCGACCAATATTTTGGTCGCCAAAAGTGGCATTTCCTGTAGTGAACTCAGGATTCACTTTTTAGAAAATTAAAATTTTTTTACTAATTTTTTTTAAATATTCTAAGCTTTTTAATTTTTAGATATATGTAACATAAATACACCTAAAAAAGTATAATATTTGTGAAATTTTTTTTAAAAAAAATTCACTAACCATCAAAAATACAAAAAATAGTACATTTCTTTTATTCTTGTGTATTTATTAAAATTTTAAAATATTTCTTTTACAAATATTTTACTTTTTAGATATATCTAAGTAGGGTGCATCTAAAAAGTAAAAAAAAAAATTGTTTAAAATTTTAAAAATTTTCACTAAAAACAAAAAAAAAATACGAAAAATAAAAACTCAATTTCCAAAATAAATTCTGAAAATTGAAACCAAACACTGATTATTTTTTATTTAAAAAAATATTTTTTTTTCTTCAAAATTTGAAAAAATTAAAATTGTTGCATTTATAAAACATAGCCTCCGTTTGGGAAGTGGGTTAGCTTTTTAGCTTTTTGGCTATTTTAGCCTGGGGCTAAAAAGCCTGATTTGGAAGGACTTTTTAGTTTTTTTGACTTTTTTTATGAGAGATTAGTGTAATGATTATGGGTTGGATTTGATATTTTATTTTTTGTGACTAAAATAGACTATTTTATTTTTTGTAACTATTTTAGCCCCTATGCCATAGTTTAATTTCCAATAAGTATATATATATATATATATATTTGAAAATAGAAATAATAAGAACTCATTTGATAATGTTTATAAGTACAGTTTTTTTTTTAATTTATGTTTATAAAAAAGATTAAAAACTATAAACAGAAACATGTTCGGTATTTATTTTTTATTTTTTTAAAATATAAACAGCTTATCAAAATCATTAAAATTTTATTATCTAAAAAAATTGATTTTACTTATCTATCAAATAAATATTTTGCTCCCTCCCTCTCGGCACCGAGTGACAGATATCATCACCCAATTTCCTCGGCAACTGTTGCTAACCGCAGCTGGTAAGCACTATTGGTCACCTCTAACCACTACTTCTCACTGAAAAATCACTTCTGATGATCTACTCTAACTCATTTTCAAAATAAAGTAATTTTTTTTTTCACACAATATATATCAATTAGGGTTAATTACATTTTTCATCCTGATAGTTTAACTTAAACTCCATTTATTTTCCATAGATTCAATTTGAACGATTTGGTTCCTACAGTTTAAGTCTAGTTTTAATTTAGGTCAAGTTTGGCTAACCTAAAAAAGTGTACTTATTTCATCTTTTTATCTTTTTTGGGTCACATCAATCAACATCTTCTCTCTACTTTTTCTACACATAATACAAAAAAATTCAAAAAATACACTTATTTAGTCTTCCCAAACTTGGCATTAATTCTTCTGTCTAAATTTTTGTTAATTTTCTCTACAAAATTAACAAGTGGCCCAAAAATGCTAATTTTTACCTCCAATTTAGATGGAAGAACATAATTAAAATCTTAGAAAATTGACAAATGCTCTAAAATTATTAATTTTAACCTTTAATTTAGATAGAAGAATCAAATTGGAACCTTAGAAAATTGATAAATGCTCCAAAATCAATTTTAACCTCCAATTTAGACAGAAAGACCGAATTAAAATTAGACTTAAAGAGTATGTAGTAAATTGTTCAAATTAAAACTATAACGATTAAAGTGAAATTTAGATCAATTTACAAGAATTAAAAGTGTAATTAACCCTATCATAAAGCTTAGTTATTAGTTATTAGAAAAATAATGAGGCAACAAAGAGTTTCAAATTCCTAAGAGTTGAACCTACAATCTTACACTACAAACTGATGCTACACAATCATTAATCCAAAGGCCATAAATATAAACACGTTAGAACATTTCAAATCATTCACTACTTCCAAATTTAAATAAAAAACTAAATTTGATATGAATTATTCCAACTATTTCATCAAATTTTTATTAAAAACTTTAGAAATTTTTTCTCATTATCCTTAATTTTCTTTTTAAAAAATCATCTACAATGTTTTATCTTTTCAAATTTAATAAAAAAAATATTAAGAAAATTACAGCTCAATGCAAATTTAAAAATAATAAATTTATACATCAATAATAAATTTTATAAACACTTGTAATTAAAATCTTAAAATCTTCATATATATATACATACATATACATATATAAATATTTCTTCAAAATACCATTGAATTGTAATTTCTCTCAAAATGTATCTCCTTTAATTTGGTAAACAATTCATAATCGACAATGTTACGTAGCTCAAATTTTGTGGCTCAAAAGTAGCTCAAATGGCCAAAACAACGTCGTTTTGAGTACAGAACAACATAAAAATGCCCAAAACGACGTCGTTTTGGCCAATATAAAAATGCCCAAAACGACGTCATTTTGACCATTTAAATCACTTTTGAGCCACAAAATTTGAAGTACAAGACATTTTCCATTCATAATATTAAGGATGGAGAAAGCTCTTAAATGCCTCAAAAAGAAAAAAAATATATATATATATATATATAATAATAGTAATTATAAATACTTGAAAGAAAATTTCCTAAGAAGGCCTGTTCTTCTCACGTTGTTTCAGTGTCTCCAACCTAACAGAATTTTACCCCATCTCTCTCTCTCTCTCTCTCTCGCTCGCTCGCTCTCTCTGTGTCTGCCCTAATCTCGCTCCATACACCTCTCAATTTCTCTCTCTATACTCCATAGCGCTCTCCCTCTCGCTCTCTCTCCATCGCAACTTTGCTCTCTTCCAAACGCTTTACTTTGCATTGATAATATATATATATACATATATAACAAGAATATAGATACATATACCTTGGCGGTTATTCGAGCGGTTAGGGTTTTCTTGGATCCTTATATGAGTAACTATCATATACATTAGCAACACAAGAGGTAGGGTCGCTGCTTCTCTTTGTTCCACTCTCTCTTTCTATCCATCGCTTTCTGTCTCTAGAATTTTCTGTGTATTTGGGTATAGATTTTGTTCTGTTGAAACCCTAGGCTTGGGAATTCGTGTTCTTGGGTTTTATCTTGTTCCACATTTTCATGCTATGGCCGTGATTGTTTTAGGCATCTAGGGTTTTCATGGTTTGATTCATATGAACCGTTGTTGAAGAAACGAGGGCTTCAATTTGTTCTCATTGTACTTGTAGGTCTTTTTCATATAGTCCAACTTGAAATGTGGGTCTTCTGAGCGCTTTATCTTCATATAATCTGACTTCTTGTTGAAATTTTCATTGTTCTAATAGGACAGAAAACTTAGTATCATGTAAGTACTGTTTGGACTGGTTTCAATTTTTTTACTTTACAGAGGCGGTGACTTGTGGAATTTGGAGGCAATCTAGTCAAGCAAAGAGTGGTTTTGTAGGGAAAAAAAAACGGTTAGTGTTGTTGGGCCTTTTCACAAGTAGAATAGAATAACAATTCTGTGGGGAGAGGTTTGAAATAAAGGCAAGACGTGATTTCTTTTCATATTTGATCATGTTCACTTCTCATGGAAAGAAGTGAACCCACATTAGTTCCAGAATGGTTGAGAAATACTGGAAGTGTCAGTGGGGGTGGCAATTCAGCCCACCATTTTGCGTCATCTTCGCACTCGGGTACTGCTACTCTTTTGTCATTATTTTGGCTTGCATTCACTTTTGTTCTTTGTTTGGTTTTTTATCATTTATCATTTGCCTTGTTTGTATTCTTGTAGATGTTCTTTCCTCGGCACGTGCCACTAGAAATAGATCTTCTAGGAGCATAAGTGATAAAGATAATCCACATTCTGCTTTTCTGGATCGAATCTCTTCGTCCAATTCTAGGTGTAGTTCAAACAGTAATGGTTCTTCAAAGCATCCTTACAGTAGTTTCAGTCGAAGCAATCGGGATAAAAACCGTGATAAAGAGAAGGACAGGTCTGGTATAGGGGACATCTGGGACCACAGCTGTTTTGATCCATTAGAGGATATCTTAATTAGTAGGGCAGAGAAGGATACCTTGAGGCGTTCTCGTTCACTGGTGTGTAGAAAACCTTGTGAGGTGTTACCCCGAAGAGCAGTGGACTTGAGAAATGGTGGTAGCGTGGACTTGAGAATTGGTGGTAGCAACAATTACAATAGCAGCAATGGCGTGCTTTCTGGAGGAAGCCTTGTTAGCAGCATTCAGAAAATTGCCTTTGAAAAGGATTTTCCCTCTCTTGGAACTGAAGAGAAGGAAGGAGTTCCTGATATAGGAAGAGTTTCATCTCCTGGTTTGAGCACGGCTGTACAGAGCTTGCCTGTTGGCAATACTGGATTGATTGGTGGTGAGGGGTGGACCTCTGCTCTGGCAGAGGTGCCCACAATAATTGGCAGCAATAGCATGGGATCCTCATCTGTTCAACAAAGTGTTCTTGCAATTCCACCTGGGGCTTCAAGTCCAATGACAGGTCTTAACATGGCTGAAGCATTGTCGCAGGCTCCACCTCGAGCTCATACTACCCCCCAAGTAATTGATTGATTCTTCCTGTATTGTTTGGAATGAATACCAAAGCCTGATCTAATTTTTCATATATCTATTTAATTTGCAGCTACCTGATAAGACGCAGAGGCTTGAGGAATTGGCTAAAAAGCAATCCAGACAATTAATACCTGTGACACCCTCGATGCCTAAAGGATTGGTAAGAGGACTTATATAATATTTTTTAATTTTAAGTTTTTCATATACATGGAGTGAATATTTTTATTTGTTAAGCACATTTGATTGAAGGCCCAGTTCGTCTAGTAGAAGGGTGTCATGCAATGTTAATTTTACCTCACCCAGTGATTCCCTTTTTCAGTTATGAATTCCACATTGTGTCTCATGACCAATGGAAGATGTGGAATAACACAAAATTCTATAAAATTGTTGGTGTTTTGGAAAGAAAATGTGACTTGAGCTAAAAAAGTAGTGATCACCCAGAAAGCTATGAAGCATGGGTACTCCAAAAATATTGCTGTACAAGTACTGGGTACTTACCGGGTGCGGGTGCGGGTGCTTGCATACCGGGTATGCTGTATACAGTTGGGTATGCCATGGGTAGGCAGTAGGTACTCCACAACAGTTTTGTCTTTTTTCTTTTTTTTTTTTTTCTGGAAATTGGAATTTGATGCAATTCAAAAAATTTATGTAATTTGGAACTACCAACTCTTTACGTGGGTTGTTGAGTAACTTTGCCCTCTTCCACTTATTGTTGTATAGTATTGTATTTGTATTGTTGAATATTGATTTATTTTGGGTTTTATAATTTCTCTTTATAGCTATTGTTTTGAACTTTGATTTGTAGGTGGGATGTTTAGCTATAAATTTAAAAAATAAATAAATAAATATTTGACTTACCCTAGTTGTACCCCGTACTTTACTTTTTTTAGATTTTAGGGTATCGGCATACCCGTATCGTACCAGCACCCATGCTTCATAACCAGAAAGGGAAAACATGACAGATCTTCCAAAAATAGGTATCACAGGGGGTTTGCAGGCTTTGGGGGTGTTCATAATGTTATCTCTTCTGTATTTCTATATTAGCTATGGAATATTTTGTACTCATCATCAATAGTAAGATGCTTTGATAGAGAACTTGGGATATTAGATGAGTTGCTGATGTTAGCTTTATTGTTATGAATGAGACAAGGATCATGATTACTAGTTAAACAGTTCCAATATCTGAAAATCGTTGGAGAAAACTGTGTACATATTCTTATTTTGGCCAGTTGAGGATATAGTAGATTGTTTAGTTGGGCTTCCAATTCTAATAAAGATGCTATCATTTAATGCAGTTGAGTCGTTGACAGTAGGTTGCATTGTTATCTACCTTGTTGCCTTCATTTTACATAGGCTAAATGAGAGTTTTTGCTTTTGTTCTAGTTGTTAATAATCTATATCATCTGGCAGTCCTGTGTGCATAAAGACTTAGCTAAGTGACCAAGAGGACAAACAGAAGCTGATGCAAACAAGACCATTGTGAATTGGTGAATTTAGTGATAAACATTGTGTTTAGAACTAGATCATTTTAAAATTTGAAATTGCCACGATAAGCGACAGAAGTTTACAAGACAGAATAGAAGACAATGCTTTCAAACTAGACCCTTAAATAACCTTAAACTTTTTCTTCCTTTTTTTCAGGTACCCCATGTCTTGACCTTATTTTAGAAACCCACGTATATTAGTACCTCACAAAATGAGGGGTGGAGAGAGAAATATATGGTTTTCATGCATTTCAACCAAGCCGTAGTTTCTCAATCTCTGAGATTGAGGAAGTATTTTTCTATTTTTATTCTTCTTGCAGCCCCTGACAGGAGTTTCAAGGGTTGGGGCTAGAGTTTCTCCTTTTATTTCTCTCTTCTTTTCTTTTTACAGTTCATGTGCATAATGACATTCCATGGCAATGGATAAACCTAGTTGCACGAAGTGAGGGTGGTGAGAGCGGAGGCACATAGAAGAGTTTAAGCTCAGCAGCGCCTAGGGGAGCGTTAATGTTTTAATATATGTATAAAATATATTGTAAGAAATATTTTTGTTACTTAGTTGTAATATTTGTGTTGAATGTCTATTATACTAGCACTTGAACTTTTAAACATAAACATTGTAAATTATCATTAAAGAAGAAACAATTCATCAGTAATAATAACATTTTTTGTTCCTCAATCCTCACAAATCTAAATTGAAAGATCTATTAAAAAAATCCATATTCTTTAATTCCCAAAACGAAACCCAAAATTTGAATTGGTAGTTATTTATTTATTTATTTTGAATGTCTTTGGGATTCATATGTTTGAGTAGTCCCATAATAGTTGGACGGAACCATGATTATGGGAGCAAGTTTTTGACATGATACTTACTCTGAACTGTGGAATCGTGGTTTTAGAGCTGAAAAATCACCCAAGTAGGAATTTCTTGCAACTAAGATAAAATTGTGGTGCTGAAGCTTCTTGTTTTGTTAGGTCTCCCGAGTCATGTTTACAAGGTTTTTTGGTTCTTGGAATTTTAATATTTCTTCTTCATCCTAGACTTTGATGTAGCTCATAACCTGTTTCTCAGCCTTGTCTAAAGAATAGTAATCAATTGTAAATTTATGGTGAATGTTATAGTTAATGTGTTTGGTCAAACTCCATTTTAACTCCATTATGGTATAACCCCAGAGCACTTTGTGCAATGCTTAACAGCAAATGTAGAATGACCATAAATGTCTTCTTCTTTGTCCTCTTTCTCTTTCCTCTGTTATAACATAATTTTTAACTTAATCACATAGTAACTTAATTAAATCACATATTAATTGAAATTTCCCCAATTCCTAACGTAATAGCAGGCCAGCACAGACAGTGTGTGTGCACCCTAATATGACCTACTATTTTTTTAATGACATTCCTAAACTACCATCCAATGCATTGACAAAATACTAAAAAATATAACTACTTCTATAGATGATATTAACAAATTCCATATATTCAACAAAGTTTCAAGCATTTACACAAGAAACTGTGTCTGCAATATCTGTTACCACAAAAAATAAAATAAAATATACTGCACTAATCTTTATTTTTTGCTTGCCAAACCACTTTCTTTAAATTCCAAATAACTGAAAATTGGTAAGTTTATGTTTTTGACCCAAACTGCTGTTAGGTTAGATATACAGATGGGAGTGAATGATTGTAAGGTAGGAAAAGAAAATGCATGGGGTGTCAACATCTGTGTGTAGGCCTGCTTATACACTTACAACAGGTTTGTCTTTGATGCTCACTATCAATGTGTTGCAGTCTTGAGAAATGGGAAAAGAAAGAAACGTGTTTGTGGTGGTTACTTTTAAGTAGTTGGAGTTTACGATTTTATCCTTTAAAGTTGTAAATTTTATTTTATATATATATATATATATTACTTTCTTTTAAGGGAGTGGAAAAGTCCCAAAGGGTTCACCAACATTCCCTAACCTGCTGGCTTTATAAAATATTATAGATAGTATAGATATACACATAAGCATACAGGCATACATATATTTATAAATATATTAAATACCAGGACTACCAATCGCTGGAAATTTATGCACACACACATATATACGTATGCCTTTGATTTTGATGATGAAATAGCATATTCAGTGTAACTTCGGAGGTTCGCACAAGATTTTGTGTCTTTGTCTGAAATAATGTGTTTAAGCTATTGAGTTACAGATGGCCTATATCTGCTAAATCGCCTCGCAGTGGTGAAAGCACCTGGTTGATGAATGTTTATGGTGTTACTGTAAACAAGACTGGAAAGTCATGCAAATAACAATTGATTATGCAAAGGATCGGAGCTTCTCGTATATAAAATAAAACATTCTAATATGCCCTTTCTCTGCAAAATGAGGTCATGCAGAGTAACTAGAATTGAGACATTTTATTTGCTCTTCTCAATCTGAGCTAGGATAGAGCACTTCCAGAATATAATTTTATTCCTTGTTTGGTACAACACTCCAAGAACTACTTTGGTATCATATCAGCCATTAGATGCAGTGAAATTGAAGCCTAACTTGAGCGCTTGTAGGGACAGACGGGCAAGGGTGATGTGGTTCTTTAGGTCCATCTCTATATAATCTGGTTATTAGATGGTTGTTTATTGACTAAATTTAAATTTATGAATCAGTAAAATAGTCTTTATGGATTGGATCTTTAAAACCAACACAATCGATGGTTCGGTGATATTTAACGGTGGTGCATTTGTGGAAAACTCTTTACCGAGGGCCTGTGCACTCCTGGAGATTAGTCGGGCTTTGATTCGGACACCCAGTGCCAATAAAAATAAAAATAAAAATAAGGTTTTAACAACCCATTTAAAACCCCTCTTTCCTTTTGTTCTTCCTCTCTCTCATGTGCTCATGCATACTTAATTGTGGGTTTTGGTGGTTATGTGCGTGTCCATTTTAAAATATAACTTCTTCCTATATCAAACACAGTGACTTGGTGACTGAGATTGTTTGGCATGCTTATCCATGCCTTCAAATGGTTCCCCGCTGTTTCCCTTCATGCTTACTTGTAACTTGTTATATCATTGAAGCCAATATTTGTGAAAACTCGTATAACTGCATTACAGGTTATGGCACACACCCAAAGATGCATGATTTTGGGTTTCCTTTGCTTCTATGCACAAAGTAATGGCATGTATGGTTTCTTTTGTGAAGACAGGTGTTTCCTTTGTCTGTATTAAATTTGAGTTATTACATTCCTTTCCTGAATTTTCTTTAACTTGTTCATAGGCTACCTGCTTGAAGCAGGGCCTGTGTTGGACAGTAGAGGAGAGAGTGATGTGCAAGTTTATTCATGAGATTGGGGTGGAGATGAAACCCATTCTCTCTAACAACTGGTGTCTTTGCTCCTTTTTTGTTACTAGTGGTAATTGGGTGTAGTAGTCATCTGACAGCAGCAGATATTTATTGTTGATCAGTTGAATTGTGAAGACCTATGTTACCTAGAACATGGATCGTTCTGGTGCATGGAACAAGAACGGGAACGTAGTATGCCACATGCTCTAAATGTCATACAATAGGGGTAGACTTGTATATGTCATACTTAAGAATTTAAGGTATTTTTAGAATAATTTTCTTTTTAACTATTAGGCATCCAATAATATATATATTTCGCATTTTTTATATTTGTCTTGTCAAAACTTAAGTAACCTTAGATTTTAGTTCATTATATTTGATTTTTTTTTTCCTCCTAAGGTAACATTTAAGGAAATATATTAGAAAAAAAAATTTGGGATCGCATCGGATCACTAAATTTATCGTTTTGGAACAGACGTGTACCACATTTCGGAACGTGCATGCCAATTCGTTTTCTGCTGTCTTTGCTTTTTTTTTGTTACTAGTGGTAATTGGGTGTGGTAGTCATCTGACAGCAGCAGATATTTATTGTTGACTAGTCGAAACTCTGAGGATACTGTTATCATTTAGACTGCTGTGACAGTCAATGTTGAAATTACCAAAGATGAGATAGGCACGGGTTGGTTAATTCTTTTGATGGAATATCCTCTCATAGTGATTACACAAGCCCAGTTTTCACGCCTTGGCAATTATATAGCCTGCTATAAAAAATGAACTGTCCTGTGGTTTTGTTGTCAAATGATGATATGCAAGCGTTTTAAAACCATTATCAAGGTCAGGATGTGATATTTTTCTGATACTGGATCTGATGTTTATATTTTTTTAATTTCTTGTTCTCTTTACATTTGCCAATTCTTGGCTAGTTCTACAAGTGCTTTTTTTCTTTTTTCTTTTTTTTTGAGCAATCTGAACTTCTGGATACTTGTAATTAAGTTGCAAACAAACTATGCTTCCTTATTTGAAAGAATGGCAATGCTTAACTAATTCATTTTCAGTTTGATGTTCCAAGCTAGCTGTTTCCAGTTCTTGTTTCCTCGTTTGCATGAGAACAAATGGTTTTTTTTTATCAACATTGAATAATCAATTAGGTACTTCATTTGTTTCTTCAGGTTCTAAGTTCCGATAAATCAAAGCCCAAAACAGCAGCTAGAACCGGTGAGGCGATTGTAGCTGTGAAGAGTGTGCAGCAGCAGCAGCCCCACTCATCCCAAGTTGCTAATCAATCTCGTTCTGGACAAGTCAGATCTGATGCTTCAAGGCCATCTCATGCTGGGAAGTTTTTCATTCTCAAGCCAGTTTGGGAGAATGGTGTCTCTTCTATGGCTAAGGATGTATCTAGCCTAACAACTATTGCCAGCAGAGTGGCAAATAGTCAGCTTGCCACTGCTCCAGTGGGTCCATCTACTCCTTTGAAGAGCCCAAATAATTCGAAGCTTTCCACTGTTGAACACAAGGTAGCTGCTTTGGCTCTGAATTCTGGATCTACCGTGGAAAAGAGACCCTCACTGTCTCAGGCCCAGAGCAGGAGTGACTTTTTCAATCTCATGAGGAAGAAAACCTCACCCAACACCTCTGCTTTCCTCCCAGATTCTGGAGTTGCTGTTATATCTCCTACTGTGGAGAAATCTGGTGAAGTTGTCAAGGGAGCTAGTGCTCTTGTAAGTCCTTGTGTTACAGAGGATGGTAGCAAGGTAGCTAGCAATGGTGATACTCATGAAGGGGAGAAGAATTTGTGTCTTAATGGAGCAGTTTATCCAGATGAGGAGGAGGCTGCATTCCTTCGTTCTCTTGGTTGGGAGGAAAATGCTGGAGAAGATGATGGCCTTACGGAGGAGGAGATCAATGCATTTTATGAGGAGGTAACAAACTCGATTGCTTATGTAGTTTAGATCAACCCCACTTCCCACCTCCACACACACACACACACACAGAAGAAAAACAAAACAAAACAAAAATACTCTACACTATCGTCTTGTTGTAAATTCAGCCCAAATTGACTGTGTCAAACTTAAATCTGGTTTTTGGTCTCACCCCAGGGGTAAGGAGTGTAAGTTTACTAATCAGGGGAATCTGTAAACCTGTACGAAGTTGGCCTTTAAACACCCAGCTTAAGAGACCACTGTGCATATATTTTTGTTGCTTAAATATCCAAGTTAATACGATCATGTGGCTGGAATCCTTAACTTTATGTTCAAGAAATAACGTCAAGATGTTTCCCATTTTTATTTTTCTTATTCTCTTATGCTATGCAGTATGTGAAGCTGAGGCCAACCATGAAACTGTGCATAGGCATGCAGCCAAAGCTGTCAACACTTTGTGAATCTCATGTGATTGGTTCAGGCAGAGCATCCTCCGAATTGACTGCATCTGAATGTGAAACTGAAGCTTGATTTTCTGATTTCTCAACGTACAGTGTCCGGGAAGTTCCAATTTTTGTTGGCAGATGGTTTTGATTTTTTTGTTTTTTTTTTTTTCCACGTCTCTTTGTTTTGGAGGAAAACTGATGAGTGGGGCCACGAAAGCACTGGATGGGTGCAGTGGATATCTGGAGTTTGAATGATAGTACAATAAGTTGCAGAATGCCCCATCATGCCTTCCAAAACTCTTGGGATTTGAGGCCGGTCAAGAGATGGTAGGATAAGAGAAGGGAGGAGGGGTATGTTGATCCGCCGTGGATGATGCTGATCTTTTGGTATATTTTTGGAATTTTCGTTCTTTTTTTTTCGTTCTAGAGGTAAAATTTTTAGCCAAAAAGCTTTGTGATGTTTTTGATGAATTTTACAGGAAAAAGAAAAAGAAAGTATGAAAGTTTTTTAAGTTTTCCGTTTTATCGCTTATTTCATGTCGATGTATTTTCCATTTTGTTTTTCTTTTATATTTTTATATAGCAGTACATGTTTGCAATGACTTAGCATGATGAATCGGACTACAAGAAATCAGTTATGAGTAAGGGGGAAAAAAAATGAAATCAATCATTTTATGCAATCATTTTTTATTTATTTTTTCGGTTTTGGCTAGTAAGTGTTTGAACTTTGTCCTGCCTAGGACCCAGATAAATGTATACCGTTTAGTTTTTGAATTATACAGTGTTAATTATTTGAATAATAGATTTTTATTTTTGATATGTATTCCATATCGTTAATTATACATTTTTAATTAAATGAAATCGCCAACTAATGAAGAACAAAAAATTAACAAAAAATAATAGAAGGAAAAAAAGATATTTTATTGAAATTGTTGTGGGTTTTAAATCCTTGAATACAAAGTATAATTTTAGAGTTTGGCATGGGTTCTTGAGTTTTTTGGATTTCTCTTCTTTCTTGGGAAGACTTTTTAAATTCTTGATATCTCTCTCTCTCTTTTTAACCTTTGATTTTTTATTTGCCTTATCTTAAATTTGAATTTCAAATTGAATGATAATGTGTGGTGTTCTTATTGTAAGCTCTACAGGTGTCATCTTTTGTAGGATTTTGAATATTTTGAATAACGTCATTGAGATATGACTCGTTTTATTTATGTAATTCAATGAATCATATTAATCATTTTAGAAAGTGATTACCTACAACATTCGTATCATAGACTTTATATGTGTCATTGACTGATTGATCATATTTGAAATCTTAAAATAAATCTAATTGAAATTTATTTGCCAACAAATACCCCTTCAAGACTTACACAAGTGCATTTTCTTAACTGTGTGAGCCATGACAACTTGGCACTTTATCTAGACCTTTTTTAGATCTTGGATGGGATTATTATTCGGCCGTAGTCACTTTCGGCCTCTTTATTTTATTTTTTATACTTTATTTAATTTTTTTTTTTATGACCATTTTCGGATGAAGGTTTTTTTTTTTTTTTAAATGTAGGCTTGATCCCATCATTTTTTTATATTTTATTTTATGAAAGGTTATAAGTAAGGCCCAGGTTTTAATTGATCCCCTGTTATGAGCTGGGTATGCTTTATTTTTTATTGCATGAGTTCTTTTTCTTTCTTTTTTTTTAATGGACTTGGGGTCCCAAGAATTTAGTTGACCCCCTTATGCATATACAACATGTGCTGGGCATGTTTTATAGTCCATGGGCCTATTTGTTGCATGGGTCCTTTCTATGGACTTGGGCCTTTCTTTTGTGGGCTTATTTCTCCATGGATATATTTAAGTGGGCCTTTTACCAACTTCCCACCACTTCTTTTGTAGGAGTTTTTTATTTTTTATTTTTTAACTTATGAGGCTCCTAATATTATATATATATATATATATTACAACAAAATTTTCCTAGGCCATCATGGATATTGATAGGATTTCAAATCTTACATGAACTCTTACTTCTTTGAAGTGTTTCTAATCTTGCATAAACTCTTGCTCTTTAGAGTGTTTTAGGTGATTATCTCTAAGATTTTTTTGCTTTATATAACACCTATTCATTCATATAGCTTGTATATATATATATATTTTTGTCCTATCTAGGATTTATGCCGCAGTCTATATATCAGATCTTTATCCTTCCAGCATATTTCCAGCAGAAGTTGTCCAACCATTCTCTTTATTCTCTTCCCATCAGAAGTTATCCATCTTATACTTTAAAGAATGCACAAAAGAATCCCTTCAAATTCTTTTTATTTTTATTTATTTATTTATTTATTTTTCTGCACCATCCAGTAGCATATTTCTTTTATTTAAAGAAATATAAATTTCTTTTGGAAAACCATCTTTTCATATTCTTGCCACCGTTGGTAAAAAAAAAAAATTAACTGCTTGTTCCAGCCTCCTTATTTATCTTACAAAGGTAGTAGTCCCAACAAAGATCCTTCTTGAAATGATGAATCAAGACTTTTATTTTTTATTTTTATTTTTTTTATCATAACTTACTTCCTTCTTTTATAATTATGTAAGCAGATTTTTATTGTAACAAACAAAAACTACAGCCCATTTTTTTCACTTGAAAAAAAAAAAAAAAAAAAAAAAAAAAAAAAACCCTGCTGCCTTTCGAGCAGATTTTTCCTAGCCCAAAGTCCTTACTAGTAAACATGAACAAAGACCCCTTTTTTTTTTTCTTTTTTTCTTTTTTTTAAAGCTGAACCCCCCCCTGTTTTTACTTGAAAGAATAAACAAGGACTTCTCTTATTTTTTCTTTTATCATAACCACAAACCTGTTGCCTTCTCTGCCTTCCTTGCTTGTGGATATAACCAAAGACCACCCCCACCCCCACCCCTTTTTTTAAATATTTTTTTTTAAGAACAAACAGTCTCTTTTTCAAAAATTTGTTTCCTTTGGGATGAATTTGCCCATCTTTATCTTCTAACATTACAAATTTCCTGTGCTTTGACTTCTATTAGATCTTTATTATTATATTTGTTTTATAGCAGCAACAACATTTTTGCGCAAGCAAATTCTTAAAAAAAAGGCAGCAGCACTATCCAGCATATTTGCGCTTTTTTTTTTTTTTTTTTTTTGAAAAAAAAAAAAAAAACCCGTTGCCTTTCAAGCAGATTTTTCCTAGCCCAAAGTCCTTACTAGTAAGCATGAACAAAGACTCCTTTTTTTTATCTTTTTTTAAAGCTGAACCCCCCCTGTTTTTACTTGAAAGAATAAACAAGGACTTCTCTTCTTTTTTCTTTTATCATAACCACAAACCTGTTGCCTTCTCTGCCTTCCTTGCTTGTGGATATAACCAAAGACCACCCCCACCCCTTTCTTTAAATATTTTTTTTTAAGAGCAAACAGTCTCTTTTTCAAAAATTTGTTTCCTTTGGGATGAATTTGCCCATCTTTTATCTTCTAACATTGCAATTTCCTGTGCTTTGACTTCTATTAGATCTTTATTATTATATTTGTTTTATAGCAGCAACAACATTTTTGCGCAAGCAAATTCTTAAAAAAAAGGCAGCAGCACTATCCAGCATATTTGCGCTTTTTTTTTTTTTTTTTTTTACCCTTGAAAAAATGAATAAATATTATAATTGGCACCATAGGCTACGCTGTGATACAAAAGTTTCGTTGGAGTTACCAAGCTCCTGCTCTACTTCTCACGTAACCGTGCCTTACGCCAATTGGTGGTTGGGAACTTTTTTTGTACAGCAGCAGCCCCTTCCTTTTTTTTAGATGCTGAAACCTTTTCTTTTTTCTTTTTTTTTTGAAAATCTAACCAAGGTCATTTCCTTGTGATTCATATAAGTGAATTTTAACTGTATGAATCACGATATTATTTTATTTATTTTTTTAGAAAGACAATTATTTCATGTCTTTTTACCTCTTTTGCAGGCAACACACGTAAGACTTCAGAGTTATTTCAGGTATCATCGGCCCTTCCATCCCAATGGCAGTGATTGTGTTCCTTTCACCCCAATGACTTAAATCCTTAGCAGTGATTGTGTTCCTTTCACCCCAATGACTTGAATTCTTGGTAGTAATTGTGTTCCTTTCACCCCAATGACTTGAATCATTAGCAGTGATTGTGTTCCTTTCACCCCAACGGCTTGAATCCTTCGCAGTGATTGTGTTCCTCTCACCCCATACGGTTGGCTCTACTCCCTTCGAAGAGGCTTTGTCACTTAATAACTTTTAGCCTTCAAAAAGGGCTTTTGTCGACTTCTTTAGCTTATTGCATTATTGTTGTATATTTTCCTTAACTAACCCTCTCTTTCTTTCTTTTTTCATTTTAGACATTCTAATGGAAAAGACACTTGAATATCTTCGACATGACGAGAAGGATGTATTGGATAAATCTGGTTCGAAAATAATTAGGCACAAACCTATCACTGCTTTATTATTTTCCACCAAGTTGGACCCTTGCATTCCCTTACATACGTCTTCCAAAGACTTGGACTACATAGGAATCCGAAACTGCTGCAAGATTCTTGAGAAAGGGCACTCCAAAGCAATCGATTCATTCGTTGTCTTGATCCTCCGTCCGTTTTCTGAAGACCTTGGTTGCTCTGAATTTATCACTCTTCTTAGGAGGATGAAAAATGAGAAATTAAGATGGGATAACTCTTTCAATGTTCGTGGCATCTCTACCCATCTTCAATCCCCTATATGGACCTTTTGGTTAAATGGTGTTCTTTCCACATTTTCCCATAGCTTGAAGAAATCTAGGATTTATGCTGCAGTCTATATATCCCAATTTTCTTATGCCAGGAATGTCCTTCTACTCAAAGGATTTTTAGAGCGATGGTCACCAGATATCAACACCTTTCACACCATTTACAGCAAACTTGGGATCTCCTTATGAGACCTTCATCGCATTAACGACCTCCCTATCCTTGGTGAGTTTTATGAAGAGTTCACCCCCTCCAGCGACATTTTATATTCATCCAAGACATCCAAGGTGTGTTACGGTCTTTTCAACATTTATGCCATCTTTGTTCAATCCAAAAATTCAACACCTGGACTTCCAAGTTTATTGATGAATCCCCAACTTCAAGTAGTGGTTTTTGACAGAAAGAAAGAATCCCTGACGAGGTATATCTTGCTGGCTTTTTGGCAAGTTGATTTAGTGGTTTGTCTTCCCTCACTCTTCTGGGGAAGTTTGTTCAACTACTTTTCATGTAGCCACCAAAATGGCCAATGGTACTTTATTTAGACTAGTCATCCCCATTCTTGCATATCTTTACCATTCTCTTAGTAAAATGGCATTATCACTTTCGCCTGGGAAGGAAAAAATCAAAGGTCCTTTGCATTACCCTTTTGGATAGATTTCACTGTGTTTTACTAAAAATCACTTTCATAGGGATCCTCGGTCAATTCATCTGATTCCCAATATTCATGTCATGCCATATCTTAGGTTTATCGGAAACCAATCAGTTGCCCAATTTTTTACCGATAAGTTTTTGTTTGTGGACTCTCTCCTTACTTATCGTACGGAATGTCAATTTAGGGCTCTTACCCATGAACATGAACCTTCAGGCACTCTGATTGACTCTGAAAAGATATCACCTTTCCACCTTGACTAACTTACATCT